AGACAGACAGACAGACAGACAGACAGACAGATAGATAGATAGATAGATAGATAGATAGATAGATAGATAGATAGATAGATAGATAGATAGATAGATAGATAGATCCTTTCATGTGCCTCAGGATGCAATGTCTGTCAATATAGTCTTGCCAATGGACACATCACTTCTTCCCTGGGGGCCATTCCATGGGGAAGATACAAAGGGCATTTCAACAGGACTACACTGCACTTTTGGTAAGCAAGTGGAACGTGTTATATTTCTCGTTTTCTGCTCTGTAAAACTCAGTCAATTACACTTTTGAAATCTCTCTCTACCTTAGAAAGATGACACAAGGAACAGAGGGCAGAACTATTATACTGTGTGGGGAAAAACTAGGTGATCAACTCTTGGAGTTTTATTTCAACCTTGCTTGCTGTCTGCAGTTTCTGTGACTGGGAGGGACTTGTATGGGCTGCAGTAAATGACTGTCTATCCAGCACTACCAATCGTCCCTCCCAGCCTCTGAATTCAAAGAGAGCCCTGACTCTCTGCTGAGTGCTTTTCCATCTCTCTTTAATCTGTTGGAAGTACTGTTTGTTTGCTGTTGATCTGCTCAGAACTGTAAGTAATGAAATATTTTTATTCTTTCTCCTACAAATGTCTCAGAGTGACTTATTGACAAATCAAGTGCCAGTTAATGAAAAAGGGTACACTATCTTGGCAACTTGTAGCTAGTCTTCCTTGTGAGTCTCTCTAGTTCTACGAGTTCATAAAAGAAATTTAACCAGAAATTCAGAGCTTTACAGTATCAACCATACAGTGGTGCCTCGCTTAACGAGCGCACTGTATAATGACGAATCTGCATACCGAGGAGGTTTTTGCGATTGCAAATGCGATTGCATACCGATGGCCCCTATGGGCAAAAATCGCTTTGCGATGATCAGTAAGCGGTTTGCTTACCGATCTTCGCATTGTGATGCCCGCAAAACAGCTGATCAGCGGTTCCAAAATGGCCACCGGAAGCCCCAAAATGGCCACGCGCAGCGTTTTCGTGCCCTGCCCTCGCTTACCGAGGGCGCGAAAATGCCTGCACTATGGAGAAACTTCGCTGAACGGTGAGTTTGGAGCCTATTGGAACGCATTAAACGAAGTTTAATGAATTCCAATGGCATTTTCCGATCCGTACAGCGATGTTTCGCCATAGCGATGGTTAATCCGGAATGGATTAACCTCGCTATGCGGGGCACCACTGTATATTTCCCTTTCTGAAAGGGAATCAGGGGCTATAAGAGGATATTCTTCTGCTCCACATTAATTCTCCTCTACAAACGTCAGTGTCAGACAGATTCATATTCATTTCCCAATGGGTTCAGAAGTTGGAAAATAATTTTGCTAAATATATTGTAGATGTTTCTTACACAGAATATACAGGAGATTATGAGAATGAAGAGGCTATAAACACAGGAGATATATATAATCTTCACATCCATTGCCTCTCTTCTGGTCTTGTAATTCTAAACTTCTGAGTTTTAATCCTGCCTTCTGTTTTTTTTTTTAATCTCAAAGAGCTTGGAACTGATTGTTGACTCCTGAAAGCTTAAATGTCAGAGATAAACTGGAAAGAAAGTTTATATACATTGTATCTCTTCTTCCCTTTTTCGACATCTCTAAGGTCAGAGTACTTCCTTGCTTTCCATAACACTAACCTTCAAGGCTTGTGTGGCCCTTTTACCCTTATTACATCTCATAGTAAACTAAAGGGTCAGATTTCTTTTATCTTAATCCTTGTCAAAAGAAAAAAAATACTTAGCTCTGTTGCAACTTGACATGATGCATGAACACCAAGGCTGTACCTTGTTTGTTGGAGACTTTCCCCAACTCAAGACTCATATTTCCTTTCTGTTCATCCAAGCTTTCAGTCAATTCCAATTCTCTGTACAAACAACGGATCCATTTATGTATCCTACCATTGTCACCATGTAAATGTTTTTGCTCCAATACTAATCTAATTAGAACTGGAGACACCCTGCTTTGCACCTGACTGTTGTTCTTTAGTTAAATTTAATTGCTGTATGAGTGTGATGGATGTGGCAGGACCAGGTAGGGAGGCAACAGGGGCAGGTGGGTGGGCACCCGCTTTCCAAAGCAAAATGAAGCACAAAGGGGGGAAAAGTTTGGCGTTTCAATTTGCTTCACATCAGCAAAACAGAATCCCCAAATGGGGTTGCAAACCAAACCACAATCCACATTAACGGTTTTTCCTGCTTCGTAGTTCAGTTCGTGCCCATCTTTACTCTCAGATAACACATTAGTGATTGCACAGTTCATTCCTGCACCAGCAGAAACTCCTAATTGGATGCTTTCTGTTTCTCACCCACTCCAAATAGTTAAGAGTTTTTTCCCCCATTTCTATCTTTTTATTTTATTTTCTTGCTGTTTTCATTTTGTTTCTGGGGCTACATTTTCTGAGCCACATATCTATTTTAAACATTTTATCTCTAAACTATTAGCCAATGGTTCGTTATGTATGCTGGTGTATGTGAAGGGCATTTTGGCTTGCAATTAGATTATTATACCACAGAAGTGAATTATGACTAGAGTATATGGGCAGGTTCCATAACTAATCAGAGATGTATTGCTAAGTTTTAGATTTCATTGCATGAACTATAAATTATTATTTGCCAAGGTATAATGTCATTGCTCATTTTGCACATTTTAAAATACTAGCTAAGTGAGGAAGCTGGATTCTTGTCAAATACAGTTCCCTAATAATAGAAATTTGGATGTATTCAGTTCTTTCCTTAGGATAAATAAAAGCAAGTGGGTTGATATCCAATGGTCAAATAGTCATTATAAAGTATTCTGCTGGCAAATAACTGTAATAAACAATTCTGCTATTAGCTATGCAGTAGGTATAGCTGGGATGATAGCATGTCCTATGTAGCCAGATTTTTAAAAATGTTTAAGAAAAAGGTAAACAAAACCACACATTTATAATACACAACATTAAATCAACTAAAGTTAAACCAATTCATCATAATCACATTTTTTCCACCCTGTGCCACCTTTTCTCTCAGGACTAGATTCATATTCTTTATCCTTGCATTTCATACTGCCCCATTTCTCTCCAGAAATACCTTGATTTTTCTCCCAATATACACCTCTTCCCTTTCTGAAACAAATATATTAAGAACGTATTTCATATTTCTTTAAAATATTACTTTTTATATTCTTCTAATTTTAATTTCATTTGCCAATTTGTCATTAATTGCCATATGCCACATTTCTCTATACCATTCCTCAATGTTAATTTGATTATCACTTTTCCACTTCTTTGCAAGTATTAACCTTACCACAGTCACCATTATAATCATTAATCCGTTTTCTTCTCTCTTCATTTGGTTATTATTGATCATATTCAAAAAGGCAATCTTTGGAGACATTTGTATATCCACTGCAATTATTTGCCTAATCTCTGTAAAAATCATAATCCCTTCTTTCTTCCTTATTTTGCAGTGTAAATGTTTTCTTACACTTCCAGCACAGAGATGATACATTTTACTGTGTATTTAATGCAGCTTCACCAGTGTTAAATACCATCTCCACACTACTTTGTAACAATTTTTACCCTTATAGATAGATTCTTCATTGTTCTTTTATTTTATATTTTACTCCAACTTTCCCTGCAATTTCTTTAACCAAATCTTCCTCCTACAATTTATTTATTTATTTATTTATTTGTTTGTTTGTTTGTTTGTTTGTTTGTTTGTTTGTTTGTTTAGTGTCCTGCTCCTATTCATGTCGAGACACCACTTTGGGCAGTTACAACATACATAAGAGAGAAAAAAAAGATAAAAATATTAAAAGCAATGACAATCTTTCAACCAGATGGCATCGAGTAATCATATAAACCTAGAGCACATGGAGAAATGGGGAAGAGGGAGAAGAGGGGACGGAAAGGAGGGAAAGGTGATCAACTAAGGTGGATGTCAAAACCCTCCCTGAAAAGCAACAACTTTAATTGCTTCCAAAATGTCAACATGGAGAGGGCTAGACAGAGCTCCTCTGAAAGCTAGTTCCATAAAGTTAGAGCCACTGCAAAGAATTTGCATTTTTATGAGCCTCCCTCGGATGGTCACTTTTCCATTTTTCTTTGCTTTTAGTTTCCATTTTTTCAATCATCTCTTCAAATTTTGTCATCATTCTGACCTCTCCTTCCTTTCTTTTGTCCATTTTTCAAACAGAAATATATTTAACCATTAAATCCCCTCTTTTCCCAATATCTCTCATCGTCAACAAAGCCTGGCTCCCAGCACTGAAAAATACAGCCTGCAAAAGGTCAATGAACTCTACCCAACTACAAGGACTGGTGATCACTGCACACAAAAGACCAGCTAACAGCACCCATCAATCACAGTGGCAGATCATCTCTCCCCCTTATCACAATACACCCACAACAAAAAACATGCTGATCACCATAATCACCCAATTTCCTGAAAAGGACAAAAGCTGATCCCACAGCTATAAATACTCAGCTACAGTGGTGCCTTGACTTACAAACTTAATCTGTCCCAGAAGATGTTTGTAAGTCAAAACATTCAGAAGTCAAATCAGCATTTCCCATAGGAATGCACTGAAACCCAATTAATCCGTTCCAGCTGTTGTTTGTTCTTATGTCAAGACACGGTTTGTAAATCAAAGTATTAGTTCCCATAGGAACTAAT